AACAGCCCTGCACATCATAAAATCTAGACATTTCTAGTTATCCTCCTCTACAGATATTTTCACAAAAGATGCTATTTTGGAGCAGATGCGGTTCCTAAGTTTTCTAATATTGTCCACTCTAAGGGTATATCAAATCAAGACCAAACATGTAACATGCTTGTCTCCTGACAAAAAGGGTGCTTTTGGAGCTACTCAGTGTAGTCCCCAATTTCTTTCAGAAAATCCTTCTGAGAGACCACCAGCTCAGTATTCATTTGTACCAAATACCTCTATATGAGTTGGCTTCAAACGGCATTGACTTTCAGCGGCTGCCTACCCGGGTTATAAATTAATTCAAATCTAGCACTGAACAAGGTTCCAGTCTATCACCACTCCCCCTAAAAGTTACTAAGACAACCCTTCATATATTACTTTGATTTGTTGCTCATGCTTCTGTTGGAAGTATCAGCTGCTCCTTTGACCTTGCTATTCCAATTCTACCACACTACTGTGAAGACCTGCTCAGCTATAAAATATTTTTCCTTACTATCTGAAATTCCAGTTACGTAAAAGGAGGTTGTACTCTCTGTTGTATAGATCCTGTTTAATCACACTGTCACACCTATTTATTTCCCCTGAAGCATACGAGCATGTAATGTGGGAGGAGTTAGACAATTCCCAGACAGCTGTAGCCAGCCAGTACTATATTATAATGTTGTGCATTTACTCACAAACCAGTAAGGTGTCTGGACAGAGATTACAGATGAAAAGATATTACTTTATCTGTGATCAAATAATTAAAAAATAACAATGTATTTTCTAGTATGTGTTAAGGAACAGAAGAAACTTCCCAGTGAGAATGCAAAAGTTCTGGAGTAGTTCTCAAGGTAGAGGTAGAAATACTAACGAACTTGTTTGTTGGAATAAAAGTCCGCAATACTTACAGATTAAAACTGCAAAGCAGCACAATGAGAACTTGGCATTCTCTGGTACTCTGCATCTCACAGAAAATGTGTTGCTCAATGTAAATTTTACTAAGGACCAATAGCTCAAAAAGGACTGAACAGAATTAACATATTTCCCTCAAAGGGAAATACCAAACAATAAACTGAGACCTCAGGCTCATAAACCAATACATACAATTTATGTATACGTCACACAATGAAAAGATTTTCCAGGTCTAAATGCAGAAGCTTCAGGCAGATCAGAAAAGGTTTGTTTAAAATAATTCATGACTGAGAATCAAGACTTACAATTCAGTAAGAAGTTAACTTTCCTAGGCTGATTTTGGCTACATGTTCTGAAATTAATTATCATCAATTTGGAAAAACAAACAAACAAACAAACAAAAAATCCCAAACACCACCAACCTGCAAAGAAATAAATATAGACATTGAGCCACATTCATGTTTTTTGCTCTGTGAGGGTCAGTAGAGTTACAATGAATGTAAAGAAAGCCCTTTATATTAGGAACTAAAATCCACAGCAATAACGAAACACTGAACATGAGTTTTAGCTCCAAGATGACACAGGCATTGTGTAAGGGGATATATAGGGACGGAGCTTCTGCTTGGGTAATGAGCTGCAACAGTTTATACCAGCTGAGGATCTATTCCAAACGTTTAAAGCAAGCTGTTTCCATCACTAAAACCAATTACTAGCGTTGTGTGCCTTGCAGCATTTTTTTAGTTGGTTACAGTCAAGTTAGAATAGGTTACTTCCAAGCTAGGAAGTTATGCTATGAGAATCTGCTACTTCCAGGACTAACAGCTCCACCGCAGTTTTATCCTCTAATATTCGAGTCTCTGACGTCTACGTTTGCAGTACAGAACCACAGAGAGTATCACAAGTTCCTTCCCCGTGCCTACAGAGGCTTACCCACTAGCTTCACAAAATGACCTTTGTTACACCGGGATTTACACTGGTGTCCTTGGAAGCAGCAGATGGTCAGGATGAGCTGCTGCCATCCACATTTTTCCTTTAGTCCGTGAAATTATTTACATAGTCCCCTCAACAGCGGAGGCATTTTCTCAGCTTAAGAGCAAAAGCACACTGGTTAAAAGATGGGACAAAACAACAAGTCAACAGGTAGCGCTTTAAAAGACAATAAATTGGGCTGGATTTTTTGGTTATATAAGAGCAAGAAGCCACTATCTCTATCTGATGTATGAATTAAATGCTGTACCTTATCAACAGGAAATATGAACACATTTCCTTCAATTATTTCCTCTTGCAAATCATTCCCTGCAGTTCCCAAAGGAAACAACAGATGCACCCAAAACAAGTTTTCATTTCTTTGCTAGCCTGTTCAAAGAAAATGCAAAACTCTGGGGTTTTTTGTTTTTAACATCTATTTAAACAAAATTTCTTGCTCAGAGAATTTGAAGTACTTTATGAACAGGCTAGTATCATTATCTCTACCTGTAAAATGGGGAAATGAGAAGAAAAGCAACAGCAGCTTCAGAGTTGTACCTAGGTCCCCTTCCGAGCCACCATATTATGTATGCCACACTGCTAAGGCACCCCCACAACATAAATTCAGCAAGTATATTAACCTACAGTAGAGCTTTCTGTCCTTTGAATGGTATCTTACATTGTAGGTATAGAAGGGGGAAATCTTGTTAGAGATGTATGTGCATTCAACGGAAAGATCTTTGACGCCTCTGATAAATTTTCCAACTGATTTACGTACTGTCAATATGTTTCTTGTATGCATAAAATATTTACAACCTTGGTCCTGTAATGGGATTCTACGCCCTCCAATAATTTGAGCAGGCTGAAGGGTTGACGCTCTTGGCTTGAATTGCTGGCTCATGTGTTAACTTATGTTGTTTTTAATTGCAACGTATTCTTGCCTAGAATGACACACTTGTGTCAACACAAAACAGGCTCAGTGCAAGATTCACAATGGAATTTGAAACCTCTGTAGTGCAGAAACACTGGAATCTGAGAGCTTGGTTTCAAATCCTTCCAGGGAGATACTTTCTGAGAAGTCTGCATCTGGCTTTCTAAACCCGCTGAAGTTTGAGAGTATTCAGATCAAGCTTTACATTAAGCCCATTCCCTAACAAGCAGGGCCAAGATGAACAAAGTTACATTTGCCAACATATCTCCAGAGAGCACAATGCATCTCTGCTATAAAATCCTTGTGCCATTTTTTCCAAAGCTGGTGAGAATTCTGTCAGTTTTAAACTTAAAGGGGAACTGAAAACAAAACTTCTAAGTTTACAATAATTAAAAATACAAACAGCTTGGCAGGGCAGCCATTCAAGACAATTTCTCCTCAAATAACAAGACAGTCGAGATAGACAAGCCTGATTGCAATTAAAGGTACAGGCTGAAAACCCAAACTTGATTTAGAAAGTGCATAGAAAATGGCTTGAAGACTTTGGTACTGATGGAATTTTAGAACCATACAGGAAGAAAATCATCCTAATCGATGTTACAAAGATTTTTTGGTTATCCTTTTAAAACAATTTTTAAAAAGGCAGGTTTGCTTCCACAGAATTCTGTTAGTTTTATCTTTATTAAATATGGTGGGACATCTCCCACAAGCATAGTAAAAAAATATATTAAGCCCAAAGTCAAGCGATGTTCTTTTCTCAGCCATGGGAGAAATTTTTCAGTCCAGTAAGTGTAACTTCAGAGTGAAATAAAAAAAATTAGAATCTAATCAGGGCCATGAATCAGTCTCACTGGGGAACAACAGGGCTATGCAAAACACAGATCTAAATTGCTATCAACGTTAGAAATCCAGCCCCGGGATCTGACACTTGGTGATGAAACAGTGCCAGATGAAAATACGCTGAGCAGGGTAGACAATTTTTTGCTGCCCTCTGCAGGGTAGCATTGAGCATTGCCATCCACAGCTGAAGCCTGGGAAGAGATAAACAGGCTCACAAAAATCATCTGTGCTTTTTCAGAAGAACTTTTACAATTTACTGGTAATATTGCTATTTCAACAGTAGGCTGGACTCAGTTTATTAATATTGCATTTATAAATGCAAATCAACAATTTTACTCCAGTTTATGAGTCAGTCAGTTATGCTTAGAATTTTGTTCCTGTTCTCCCAGTTATAGAAATTATATATCCAAACCTGATAAACTGGGCATAGTCAATTCTCACTTACATTCCACAGAGCCAACTGCATGTTCTAACTGATGCAGGACACAAATTGCTGCATGCTCTCTCTGATACACAGCAGCCCACAGAACAAAAAGACACGCCCAGTGCCTTAGCACAATTAGGCCTGTCTTGCTGTGCAGGGAAAGAAGTCTGTTAGACTGTGCTTTCTGCTGTATGTGTTCTGGAGGCATGCCAAAGTAAGTTTTGATGGAAATACTAATCCCTAGATCACTCCATCATATAGGAATAAAAGAACAGGCCCTCTTTCTTACAACCTCAACATTAAGCTTCCAGTCTTTACTTGGATTGCTTGCAAGGTACTGACATAACCATGAACTACGAAGTGCCAGAAGAAAAGACTCTTCCAAGCTCCTGCCCTCCCCTCAATAAAAATATTAAGCAGATATCACTGTGACATTCAGTCCCTCCTTCCAAACTAACCAGTAAATTATTTCAGTCTCATACATTGGATGATTTAAAAAAAAAAAAGTCTCCCAGTGGCAAACGTTAACTCCTTGTCTGAGAATAAACAAACATGCGTACTGTTCTCCAATATCAGTCAGTGTCAAAACACAAAGACATAAAAAAGTTCCTGAGAGATAAGTGATTAATGAAACATGAGCATTAGTTGAAGATTATTGTTTCTCGAGTGATCAGGCATTCAATCCACTTACATACTTCATTTGAGAACGTTTCCTTTAACTCCAAAGAAAAGGCAAGATGATTATGGTTCTAGTTCCAGCTATTGTCTTAGAGACTTTATGGAGCTATTTTGTGTTCCCATCTCCTCATTTTCCGCAACACAAACAACAACAAAACAAACATATCAGCCATATCAGGAACCTTAACCCACTACTGTTTGCAGGACACAGAGATTATATGCTGTAGAATACTACATAAGCACAGATATTTTCTTTATCATTACACGTCTGATGTTGCACAAGAATGTTATAAAGACAACTGTGAGACTGGAGGATAATATGCTCATATACAAGAGGGTCTGATGTGAAGAAACCTTTGCCGGGAGTTAGTCATAAGCACCCAGCATTCCTACTGGATGCAGCAGGTCCTCCTGTATGTCCACATGTGTATTCGCAAAATGTGTATCATATAATTCCTTTATACTGAAACACATAAAAATAAAACCAAACTCGTTCTGTATTTGTCATGGCTAATTTTGTTAAACACCAGTATTAGATATGGAATCACAAACTGCAACATAGAAATAAAACAGAGAAGACAGAAGGAGGAAGAGTTTTTTAAAGCTGTCCCAACCAATCTGACAGCATCAAATGAAAACTACAAGTTACATAGACACACAGGGATCAGCATGTCAAAACTGTCAAAGCTTGGCAAACAAACTGAAATTTAGAAATTAAATACTTCCTCTCAAGCAATCCGCTAGCAACAACACAGATCTATGTAATACAAACAGAAAGTCCAGAAATGCATTGACTCCTTACAGCTAGCACCTGCACTCTCATTTCCAGAGGTCAAGCACAGTCAATTTATAAACAGCTCAGAAGCAATCTAAGCAAAACTTCGGAGATGGTGTAGCGTTTCTGGCCTTATGCAGAACTTTGCAACCAAGCCAGAGGACTTGACATAACTCAATCGGTGAAGAACGTAATCCAACTCAGAAGCCAAACTTAGTTCTGACCAGGATCAACCTCATTCATCAGCATCATCAAACTGGCCAGCCTCAGTCATTCTAACTGGTGGTGTAAAAGCAAGGCAAGCTGCATGGTGACAGCCTGGGTTGTAAAATGAATCTTCTTGCCATGAGTATGAGGCCAAAAGATTATTTTCCTGAAAGCTTCCACAGTAGAGATCGCCAGCATCTAAAGAAGATCAAAGAAAAGATTTAAACCATGGGAGATACTTAGAAAACTAGTGGTATAGTGTAGCAGATTATTTTGCAGGTTTACAGCATCTTCCAGTAACTATTTCAGTTTGATCTGCCAGCACTCATGAATCAGACCTACAAAGCAAACAGAAAGCTAAGTTTGGCAACTTCTTCGCATTAAGGAAGGTTCTTGCCATGGAGACAAAACAGTTTTCCAAAAAGCTCAATACCTGGATTCAGAACATCTGAAACCAGCTCTTACAATGCATGCAGTTCTATGTTTTCTCCAGGCATAAAAGGCTCACGAAACCATTACTTTTATTTCCCCTCCCATCTCCCGCTGTCACCATAACCACATCCCAGTTAGGAGCCCTCCAAACCCATGAAGAACTGGGTCACTGGACAGAATGGAAGGGTGGGGTCCTGTAAAAGCTAGCTCTGAACAACATTTCCACTAGGCTAGAATTAAGCCTAATAAGCCTGTTATTTAACCAACCTAGCAAAAAAATAGGGCAAAGTCCTTTAACAGAAGCAAAATATTTCTAGCCAGCAGGCACTGAAAGGATTAAACAAATGAAAAGCCCAGAGTATGGGGAAGCAGAGGACCCAACACAGTATATCCACTTGTCAGTCTTCCAGTACCACTGCCAAACAAGCCATCAAAGCAAGCATTCTGTATTTTATTTTAAAGCACCACAAAATGACCAACCATGCACATTTTTTTATTTGTAGCAGTTAACAATTCAGGCACTTGTACTCAGTATCTTTCACAAGCACCTAAATACCATCATCACAGCTTCCTTAGTTTGTGAGGATTTGAAGAGCATAAACTGCAGGTAGGGATAAGTTAGTTAAATAAAGGAAAGTAAGAGAACTTGTGACAGTTACAGTAAACAAATTCAAAACATTGCATAAATTTGAGCAGATGAGAGATAAAAAGGAAAGCTCAGTACGGAAGAGAGGGAAACATCCAAAAAGGAAACAGTCTTTTTCTCAGATTACCCAGTGTGAAAAGCCACTACTGTATTTCCATTTTAAAATATTGGAATTATTTTATAGGAAGACTGCAAAAACTTTCCCACTTCCTTCTGTTATCAAACAATGCAACTTGAATACAACAGCCATTTATGGAATTAAAATAAAGAGGGAATAGATATTTCCTAAACATAGAAAGGAGTGTTTTTAGTAATTACAAAAGATACACATTAATGAGAAGAAAATGGAAATGGTACTATTCTGTACCAACAAAGACACAGCAGGTTATCAGCCACTGCTGGCTAAACTCCATCCACTTGTTCTATCCTAACATACAGCCTGGCAAGTGGAAGATTGAGACTCTCAGTTCAACACGAGTCACTGTGAAACAGTTTACAGTCTGGAGGATTAATACAACTCTAAAGATGCGGATGAGACGGCTTCTATCCATTGTCACCTTTGTCCATGGGATTGATCAGATGCCACTTAAGAGGATCAAGCTTCAAAAAAACAACCAACCAAACCTACTACAAAACAAACAAAAAAACCCCAAACCCAAACCTTTAGCAAAAGCAACAACAAACCATACTCTGAGTGCTTGTACTGCTCCCCTCCAAATAACTTCATGCTCTAGAGAGACATTACAGTGTAGTCTGGATAAATTTTCTTGGACAAAAGAATGAACTACTTTTACACCAAAAAGTTACATTCCCGCACTCCATGTACCTTTCCCTTCTGCTTCAGAATAACAAAGATACACTACTGAGACCTAGCTTCTCCAGAGAAACTCGATACACACATATTTCTTACCATTCCACTCTCCAAGAACTCTATTGCTCAAGGAAGAGTTTAATGTGAACTTCACAACACTGCCTTTAAATCCTGTATTTGACAACAAAATTATGCATTACAAATCCATGAGGTCAACAACAAAAAAGATTGCTTCCCAAAATAGAATGTAGAGTTGTTTAAAATACATTGTCCTGCAAAGAACCTACCTCCAATCACATACTAACCAAAACTCAAATGAAGCACAAGTAAATTTGTACTCACCATAAGGATTACATTCAGAGTCCTCCAATTCTTTGTCCCAGTCCTCCTCCTCATACACAGAAGCTGTTTGATGCTCTGCAAAACTTACAGCCTCAGGCATACTGGAGACTTCACTACCCAAGTCTTCCGGGTCAGGATGTATATGAGCACAGTCAACAGGAGAGCCACTGACATCATTTTCATTGTGAGAGGTACCAGAGAATTCACTTTCTTCAGAGTCACTATCATGAACATTTGGAATATTCTTCAGCAAATACTCTAAAAACAACAGAAAGAGCCAACAGATATATTTAGGAATTAAAAAGGGCACAGTTAAATGCTTAGCACACAGTAATTCAGCCAGGTATATGAATGTACTTTGTGACTACTAATCTAATTGTAATATATGCAAATCCTTACATATGTAGTATCACTACAGTGTTGTTTCAAGTTTCAGATGCTTGGGAACATCAGACACAAGCTTTCATCACAACACTAGCTCAAGTCAGGATTTTCCAGAGACTCTTGTTGAACTACAACTCTTTAAACTAGGGCATAGGACCCAGAAATCCTGTTTCATCACATTCACCTGTTGACATTTATAAAAAAATAAGTATATTGAAAAACCACAGCTCTAAGTTTACCAAAAAAAAAAAAAAATTTGTAGTATTGATTACTTACTCTTGCACCTAGGCATACACAAGTATCTACATGGAATTCAGTGCAGTAACTGAAGAGGCACTTCCTCAAGCAGAGTCATTACTCACTGTCTGCTTTGGTTTGCCCTAGTATTTTAAGCTTACCTTTTCTGGACTTCCAGGTCATAGTTTCTCTCTTATTAGGAAGCTGCTCCTCCTCAAAGCCTGTGGGCTCAGTGGCAGCAGCCATCACCTACAAGACAGTTTTAAAGAATCCAGTAGCACCTTTCATCAATTCCTCCAGTGAGGCTCATGCAACTTCCTACTGCATTTGAGTGTTTCTGAGCCCTTGAGCCTGACCTGTTTGTTTGTTCCCTTGATAAATCAGAGGTTTTTAAACCAGACAGGCTTTCACTTGAGAAACCAAATCTGCCAAGAGATGGCTCATCCTGCTGCTGCCATCAGTCAGCCCAGGCAGCAGACAACACAGAACAGCCAATTACCTCACTCACAGCCATAATCCTGATGCCACACATTCCCAAAACTGACCCAAAACGTGCCTGCTTGGGAACAGCAGCAGATTAGGAAAGCTGCAAAGGTAATGAAGACAAGGGGTGGAATGAATACAAGCATCAAAGACCACGATCCAGCCACCTTGTAGGAGCCGACACACCAACGAGACAGGAAAGGGCCAGGCCCTGCAGCAGCCCTCAGGAGCTGGAGAAAAACGGCAGATACGCAGCTGGAGCACAGAAGGTAACACCCCAACTGGTTTAATGGTCCCCAGAGGGAGAGGAAAGGCGAGTTATCCCCACCACTCCCACTACAACAAAGAGGAATTCGCTGAAGGACAGCCCCTGCCCAGGGCGGCGGATGAGGGAATCCGGGCTCCCAGCGCTCACAGAGCCGAGTGCGGCACGGCCGAGGTCGGGCCTGTGGCCGGGAACAAGGGCAGAGCACCGCATACCTCGGGGAAGCCCTCAGGGGCGGCCCCACCTCCTCTGCTGCCCGCCCGGGCCGGGAGGGGAAACGAGCCTGCCCGACCCCCGCTCCCCGCCCCGCAGCAGCCCACCGCACCTGCCGAGGCGGCGGTGCCACCAGCCGCGCCGGGACCGGCCGGTGCTGAGGGAGGCTCCGGGCGCGCAGCCGCCGTGAGGAGACGCTCGTCCGTCCGCCGCCGCCCGTCTTCCCGCCCTGCCGGGGCCGCTCGTCCCCTCAGCGCCGGGCCCGGCCGGCACCGGCAGCAGCGCCTGCGCCCGAGGCAGCAGGCGGCCACAGGCACCGTCAGGCGGGTGCTGCTGAACCCGGGGCACGGAATGGCCGTGCCTCGGCGCCCGCTGGCCCAGGAGCTCCGGTGCGGCGGCACCTGCCGCGAAAGCGGCTGGAAATGAGGCGGCGGCTTCTCCTACTTCGGCCTCGGTGCGCCCAACGCTGCGAGCTCCCGCCGAGCCCACCCGCTATCGGCACTTTTTGAACGCATAATGCCTAACTGCTTTCATACTGCTACTGGAAACTGCCCAGGGAGAGAGGAAAACAGGCTGACTTGAGGGCAGAAACAAGCATTTAAAACAACTGGAAGAAAAAAGGCCAAGAAATACAGACAAAAGAGCTGTAAGGAAACACCTTCACACTCATGAAGTTGTAAATAAAATATCAATGACTCTTTAGGTTCCGTGACTTCTTGCTGAAAGCCAGCTTCAGGCCTTGTGCTAGAAGCACACTGAGAAAGCATTACGAGATGGGAAGCACCTGGTCAGAGCTCCATGAACAGGTGTCAGCCAAATACACTTAGGAAGTGTGTATTGCTTAAAGGTGGTATAGGTAGTGTGAGGAACCAGAACCAGTAAAGAAAATGAGCCCACTTTCAGAAATGGTGGAGTTAGGAGTTTTGCTGGACTTCAAAAACCAAACCAAACCAAAGTGATTCCCCAAACCCACTTTGCACTTGAAAGCTTTTTGTTGTGCAATTGCAGCAACAAGACAAGGGATTCAGTGCAGGGAATAACATAATAAAGGGCAGAGTGGGTATACAAGGAGCGATTTCTGGGGGGAAAAGCACCATACCAAAGACAGCTGAAAACAAGTGGGGAGATCAAAGATAGCCTGCCTAAAAGCTTGAGGAAAACAGCAGGACATACTTCAGATGTCACAGAAGCAGCAGCTTAACAGGCTGTTGCTCCAAACCTTGTTTCCAGTTAGTCAGAAGTTACTGAATTTGTCCCCTGAGAGGAGCTGCAGTTTCTACTTGCATGAAAAATCTATTTTTCTGTATTGTCACATCACCAACCAGTCATCGGGAAATTAGATAAAGGAACTGCTGCTGCACATTCCTGTATTTTCCCTAGGCATGCTCTATTGCTCTGAGGATAGTATTTATGCTTATTTAATAGGTTTGACATGGAAAAATATGGCTCTGCAAACAGCCAAGGACAGCACTGTCTCAAAATAGTTGCCTGTTTTTCAGGCACTGTGGACAAAGTTGAAGTGTAGGTCAGAACTTTCTACTGTCCCATCAGGGACATTTGTGACACATCTCAGCTTCCCTCTACATTTCAGTCACACTCAGAATTACACCAATGCAATGTGGGCATAGAGGTTGTTTTTGTTTTTGAAGAGCATTACAGATGACTTCAAGACTAGCACACAAATACCATAATTTTACAAATTTTCTCCAGCGTTCCACTTTTCATTATTCAACTTAGTAAGACACAAAGATCTCCCATAGGTGTAGCTTCCACGGAGGGTTTTTTTTTTGTGCGTTTGTGTGCTATACTACTAGCTTTCCAGCGTGTAAAAGCTGATGCATTACGACTATTCCACCACAATGTTCAGGCAAGAGAAAGAGTTTGCTCTCAGAAGCCTCAATGAAGAACACCCTCAGAAACGCCTTAGCTTTTGCCTCTAACTGTGGACTTGAACTTGCCCCTGGCAGAAGCAACACTAGAAACAACTGCAATGAGGCAGATGATTATTTTTTTTGCACGCATGCAAGAATGTAAAGGTGGTACACTTTAGTAAGATCTAGGAATATATTTACCTTTGTACAAAGAAGTTAAAAAAAAATGGGCACTGTCATGTTGTAACTATTTATACTTTTTCATAAATGTCCAGTTTGCAACAAAGTGTATTTGGAAACAAAGTCTTCCACCAGGTCTCCCTGCAACATCTTCATAGCTCGCCAGTGAATGCTCCCACAGTTTTCTGGTTTGCCTTGGGGATGACTTAGCTCCTCTTTAATATAATCCAGCCAGAGATCTTTAAAAGAAAAAGAGAAGTTCTGGTTAGATTTTGATTGTGTATTACTTAACTAATATACCAAGCCTAACCTAGAAACTCTTTTTGTAAGTCTACTTAATGTTAACACAGTGAGATTTACTTTGTGAAACTACAACCCCTACCCCTTGAGGACCAAAAGCCTGGATTCTATTCCCAGCTGGAACAGTGATGTCTTAAGAAACAATGCAGCAGTAACTGAGCTGTTTACTTTCTTAAAAGGAATACTGTAGAAATCTTAATTATAAAAATTTAGCTCTGTACTGTTTACAAATCCAAATTAAAGGTGATGCGCATCTCTTACGCTGGCCAGTGTCAAAACCATAGTTGCTAGCAGTTCTGCTGAAGCTATCCACTGCGAACAGCAACCCTGGACTGAAAGCAAAGGGTCACTGCAGTGTCATGCACTTAATGGCACAGAAAAAGTAAGTTCCACTCTGCATGACAGCAATCACAAGGGCAGAACAAACAGCTACGTTTTGAAATGGATGGAAATAAAAGAGGCAGCACTGAATCAATGAATGAATAAGTAAATAAAATCCCCTTACCAGAATCTGTTGAACCAAACTCTCTCAAGGCACGTTCATAGTATTCTCTCAGATGAAGCATTTTGCAGGATTCCTAACAAAGGAGGGTATTAAAAGGCCATTTATTTTGTACAGAAGTGAATCTGCAGCTTGATTACATTCTTACAAAGAAAGAGTGTTATGGTAATTACACGCATACACGCACGCTGCCAAAGATTAGTTACCATGGAACTTGGTTTTGCATTACATGCTGTGAATCAACTTTAAAAGACAAATATGAACTGATCACAAACTAATGACATCACTTATAAGCCCGCTGTTTCCTATTAAATCCAAAGTTAGAAGTGTATTTTACAATTACAAGGCACTAATTGGATATTCAACAACTTACTTGCTCCTTTTCTATTTGGATCATCTTCCTGAAGAAGTCAAGTGAAAATGGACGGTTTTCACACAGGCTGAAGTAAAAACATAAGTAACTTTAGAAGTCAGGCTTTTTAACATATGCCCTGGAACAATCAGGTTTGAAAGTTTTTTGTCACCTGGTAAAGACCCTTTTGACTTTCTTATAACCACCATTTCTGTAAGTCCAGTCAAGATACATTTCTTTCATAGTCACAGATTCAGCAGGAGTTGTGGCACGTAAGGATCTCTGCAAGATTAAAAGGGGGAAAAAAAAAAAAAACAAACCAACCACATAAGCTACAATTAACAGGCAACAAGAGAGAAGAAACCAAATAGTACCTTCTACCTAATTAGGCATCTGACATAAAGCAGATCTCATAAGTGAGACAAAGTACAAGACAAAAGCATCCCAAATGATGTCTAAAAGACAGCATTAGGTAATGCATTCAATATTTTTCAAATTTAAATACCAGTTGTAACCAAAAATACCCATCTCCTCCAATATTCCATACAGCTGACAGTTGGCATTTCCCTAACATCCTTTATGCAGAGGGTTTCACAATGCTCTATAAACCGAATTCAAGCTTCCACCTGAAATGTGTTTTATGTTGTAAATAGGAAAAACAAAAACAAAAAACAGGATCAACCCAACATTACAAGCAAAGAAGAAATGTTTTGCCCTAAGCTATTTAGGGAATTTACATCAAGATTAAAGTCCCAGTGTTGTTCTTGAGTTTTTTTGTAACAAGGTTCATGCTTTCAAACAGATTGGAAAATTCTTTTCCATCTTCAGACATCTAAAAATAGAGCAAAAATTCTAGACCACAAAGTAAAAGAAGAGTCTATCATTGGTTGTGTTTACAAACATCTAGACGTCTTAGAAGCAAAAGGACAATTATGAGCCTATGTCCACCTGATTTTTGGTAACACTCACAGTTTTTACTTGAAATTCTTTGATATCAAACACTTCCATGAAGGAGCTGCAGTATAAAGCATTGTTACACGTTCCATCCACACACATTGTTCCCCATTTATTTACACAGTCATCAAAAGTAGCTGTCTATTAGCCAAGTACCTGGTAGAGAGCCTCTGTGTCTTCCTTGCTGTTTGTACCTTCACTCCATTCCACCCAGAGGGTCCATAATGGCAAAGTGCCCTACAAAGCAAGCAGATAAATCAAATGATTGAAATACAGTGACTCTGATTTATAAAAACAGACAGCAACACATCCACCAGGCTCCGTATTAGAGCTGCCATAAAAAATGTCCTTTAGACATAGCTCTTAGAAAGACAACCTTGGACTGCATACTGAAATCACTTCATGTTTTGTTCCTTTCTGACAGGACAAATACTACTTAGCTGGACAGCTGCAAGACATGTTGCTAGGGATGAGAAACAAGTTCTTCTGCATCACTGAACACTTCAGTACAAAGGTAACTTCCGAGAACAACAAGGAGGAAAGAAACAATCACCTCCCGGTTTCCTCTCCTCACTCCTTGTGCCCACGGTTTGAAATGGAACAGTAAGAGAGCACATAGCTAAATCAAGGCTTGAAATACCACATAGAAAAACATACCAGGACAGTGAAGAAAATGAAACACATTTTTCAAGTAAGACACAAAGAATACCAGCGGACTGCTACAACAAAATGTCACCTGTGAGCAGACTTTAAAACTGTGAATCTGAGGTGAATTTACAATTCCCCAATGCTTCTGAATGCAATGTGCATGTGAAATGTCAACTTCTTATTTTTGACCTTAAAAATTATTAGAGATTTTGAATGCTTTGTAAAGAAAAAAACCCAACACCTCAAATACCAGTTTTCTAACCCAAACTCAATGCATGCAAGTCCAAAAAAACAGCACAGACCTTAGTTTTCACGTGCTTAACAGCTGCTTCAAAACACTGGGTCACATCATCACTCTTCAGTTGGATCAGCACCTGCAGCCTCATCTGCCATGTTTCCACTGACAGGATGAAACGCTTAGTTGCAGCTTCTGCCACCTCCGTAGCCTTCTCAGAGAGGTTGGACTCCAGTAATAGTTGAAGCTAAAACCCAGCAGATAGAGCTAATCACCACAAGAGATTTTAATACCTTGTTAAAAAGCAAGGCCTTGAACACAATATTGCCCACCT